TGTGAGTCTGTGCTGCAGTCACCCATGCACTGGATCCGTACTCGAGATGGGGCCTGATTGTGCCTAGATAGACCTGTCTAAGAGTTTTCTCATTTGCTCCCCACTGAGTCCCTGCTAGTTTTCTCATGATGTTAAGTTTCTTCCTGGCTTTAGTTTCTGCATTTTGAAAGAGTTGTTTCCATGTGAGACGCTTATCAAAGATTATTCCAAGATACTTCTGTTGATTCTCAAACTTTAGGGGGGGGGGGGGGGGGGGTTGTCTAATACCAGGTTTTTGTCCATGTTGTGAGTTTGTCCAATGCTAGTTGCATGCGATATGTGGAAGTAGTGACGAATTCCTCAGAGCACCAAAGAACCAGGTCGTCTGCATTCAATACTGCATGTATTCCTTTGGGCAGTTCTTTCATGAGGTCATTGATGAAGAGGATAAAGAGCAAAGGTGACATGATTCCACCTTGGGGTACTCCTTGTCGCAGCAGCATTTTCCGTCCTTGATATCCATCCACCAGCACACGTGCTGTTCTGTTGTGTAGATAGGACTTGGTCCATAGGTACATGTTGCCTTGGAAACCACTTCTAAGGAGCTTGACTTGTAGACCCTCCTTCCACACCTTGTCAAACGCTTTTTGTGGATCAATAAATGTTGCTAGCATCACTGTCTGTGCCTGGAAGGAGTCCTCTATTACTTGGGACAAGTATGTTGTTTGGTCCTCTGTGCTCCTGAACTGACTGAATCCAGCTTGTTCTGGTACAAGGATGTGTTGTGCCTCTAGGTACCACTGCATTCTGCAAGCTATGATGCGCTCCATTGTCTTACATACACAGCTTGTGAGGCTGATAGGTCTATAGCTTAATGGTTGTGCCTTACTTTTCCCTGGCTTGAGGATCGGGATCATTGATGCTTCTTTCCAGCACTGGGGTACTTGCCCTTTTTTTTTCCAGCTTAAGTTGAATATATCCAGTAGAGTCTGTAACGCTGTGTTGCCCAGGTGTTGTAGCATTTCGTTTGTAATTTCATCGGGGCCTGGTGATTTTCTTTGCTTCCGTTGATTTATTGCTTTCTTCAGCTCTTCCATGGTGATGTTCTTCTCCATTGCTTCCGGGATGTTATTTGTACTTCTTTTTCGTCTTTCCTCTTGTCTGACTTCTTTTTGTCTCTCTCTTGGTATTTTGATGTTGCTTTCTTGAGCACATGCTTTTACAAAGGTATGTGCTGCCCTTTTCTCCATTTCCATCTCTCCTTTAACTTCTAGAGTGATCTTGGCTCTCCTTTAACTTCTAGAGTGATCTTGGCACTTTTATTTCCTCCGTCGTTTAAATCTTATTACTATCTGAGTGTGTGTGTGTGTGTGTGTGTGTGAGAGAGAGAGAGAGAGAGAGAGAGAGAGAGAGAGAGAGAGAGAGAGAGAGAGAGAGAGAGAGAGAAAGTATAAGTGTAAATGCGAGTGTGGACATGGGTCGTGTAGAAGTGTGTCCAAGCGTGCGTGCGTGCGTGCGTGCATGCGTGCGTGCGTGCGTGCGATCTATGATTTCATCTCATCATACACTTGTGTTCCAGAATTCCTTGCTTTTTGACGTCGTCTCCAAGAAGAAGTGAAGTTCCTTTTGTTTTAGTGATACGGGGTGCCCAATGGCGGTGGAAAAACCAACGCATTTGTTTCGAGGCAACGAGTCGGGAGCGATTGGCTTGTACCACGATAACCGCTTTGAGTCCCTAATCTGGCTAGCAAACCAACCCTAGCCGACCCAATCCCCCAATGGGCGTCCCGTATAAGATTTTTACGGTACCGTAATTGCAACACATTGAAGTCATTTAAGTGCCGAAGATTAGAGGTGTTGCAAAATAGTAACCGATACAAAAAAGGAGGAGAGATAATATTATGGAAGACAGAAGTTTGACATGAAAGAAGGAGCAAACCCAAGGACCTTACAGGTTACTGTAACCTCCTTGAGCAAACCACACCATAGCACCCGCCAACCACTCACTGGTGACTCACTGATATTCCTTGTGAACCACGCACATTTCAAAACCTTTCTCTGAGAAAAGGTCAAAGTGCAGCAAGATGCGAGTTGTGTGAAGCCTGGACGCCTCTACACCATGTAGTACGCCTAGAAAGACCATGGTGAACCATAAGGCCTGTTGGTACATGTATCATGCTGTTTTACGGAACGGACGGCGCAGCAGTTCGAACCTCCTGGAGCGTTCTAAACTTCGGTTGCTGTGAGGAGTTTTAAAGCTCTACGTCCATTTGGCTCGGGCCTTTCCGAGATGGACGTCAGATTTGCAGGTCCCAAGTTATTTAAGGGGCTGAACCTCTTAATTTAACGTCGATCTTCAAAAGGACTGGGCCAAATGGAGGGGGGATGGGGAGGATGTGTGAAACGTGCTTAACCCAATGACACAACATCGAACGGAGCTGAGGTTCAAACCCCCAACCTGCAATCTCACGATCACGTGTCCATTACTTGGTAGTCCACTGGACTACACTTATGGTAACTGCAATAAATTGTACAGTCTTAACTACCATTTTAACACTGTAAGGCTATTAAAGAGGTTGTACAATGTACCTCAGAATATAACGTCTGGCATTATCTCTGAGTGTAACGTCTATTTCCGATATCACCGAGCCAGACTAGTAGCTTTCCCTCATTGTAGATTCGAATCATCGTTCTTCGCATCATAGCCCAGTAAGATGCCAACTAAGTTGACAGCGCGCCCACACTGCTGGGCTATAGTTTAAGAGAAAAAAATTAATTAGTCGAACACGTTACATCTGAAAATTTTTCTTACTGAATTATATATATTTTTTTAAGTGAGAATGTTAAGGCACTTGCAGTACAATAAGGTCATAAGGGCCGAAAATTAGAGGTGAAGCAAGAGAGTAACAACAAACATAAAAAAGAAGGAGAGTAAGGACGTTAAATGTTTGATATAAAGGAAGGAGTAAACTACCAGGGCACCACCCACTAACCATTAATTTTTCAATCAGTAGATTCTCCGTCTGTCGTGTTGAGCGATCCCACCATTTTAACACTGTAAGGCTATTAAAGAGGTTGTACAATGTACCTCAGAATATAACATTGTTCCAATAAGATTGAAAAGCGCACAAGGCATCCATTCAACAAAGCTATTGATGAGGGAAAGTCTTCATAAGGGAGGGTCAGGGTCAACTCAAGTCACTAGACGAATGAAGACTGGCCCATGTGACGTCACACGTACTTTCAAGGTCAGCGTCACCTTAGCACTCAAACAAGATTTCTCAACTGAATGAAAACAGAACAGAAGTCGCTTTAAGCGACAGTTAAGGGACTTCTGGATGAAGAGCAGCTTGAGGAGGGGTCTCATGGAGAGAGTGAAAACAAACAGAGGCACAGGCTGAAGCGGAAGGGGGGGGGGACAGGCGTGGAAGAGGGAATGATTTAAAGCAGAAGGGGGAGAGTAGGGAGGAAGGATAGAATAAAAAAGAACAGAGGATGAGGGACAGAGAAGAAAGACAATAGAGGACGAAGGAATGCAAATGGGGTAAGTAATACATAAAAACAGGGAGGGGTAGGGGGGAGGAGAGAGAGAGTAAAATAAATTTTGTTAAACATGAAAGCAAAAGAACCAGACAGTCAGCTCAGTCAGATACACATGTCCATCCTCAAATTCAGACTTAACACTTATCCTCCCAGAGAAAACAACACCACACACACACACACACACACACACACACACACACACACACACACACACACACACACACACACACACACACACATACACAAACACAAACAAACACACACACACATTTTCATAAATGTGTTTAGTACACACTTCTTTATTAATCACAAACAGCAGCTTCTGGGTCACAGCATTCACTGTGAGCCCATCTCCAATATAATATATAATACAAGCTGTAGCAAAAAACTATCCCATGATCACAACCATGAGATGAAATACATGACAAATGCAACATTTTCATTAACGTCTTAATTCTTAACCGGTTTCCCAAACCCTGATTTTATTCCACCGGGTGGCCTGGGAGATCCCCTGTAGGCCCTGTCTATTATTAGTCCTAACTGAACACAGACGTCAGCTACATGTGTTCCCACCCATCGCCATCCCTATAGAGTAAATTAATAAGAATCAAGAATATATCTCACTTTCTCTATTTACAAGGAAATATAACGCACCATCTCCCTCCAATAAACTAAGCAGTCTTTGCTTTACCCAACACAAAAAGAAATTATTCTTCAACACATCAATATAGATCTAGTTCTTTTCCGAGACAATATGTGGTTTTTGTTCAACAAATTACGGAAATTCGTCTTTGTTCAATACACCAAAGTCTTTGTCCAATGATCTAGAAAAGTCCTTGTGCAACATACGACAATAACTTTTTTCCTACACACTACAGAGTCTTTGTCCAGTCTACCACAGAGTCCTTGTCCTACAAAGTGCACGTTCTTTATCCAACACTCTACGCAGTCTTAGTCCAATAAACTAGTCCTTGTCAAACACCTCACATGATCTTTTGCCAACATACTAGACAGTGTTAATTCAATGTACTGCAAAGTGCTTGTCTGACACACATCATGATCTTTGTTGATCACACTACTTAGTAACAATCAGTTAACATCAGACTCAAATCTCCTAATGAAATGCAAGAATTAGTCTCTGGTATTTGGCATTTTACCAACCAAGCAGTAATTGTCAGAAATCGGGTCCAGCAAAGTTGATTAACTTCATACTGACTTGTGCGATTCATTGTGGGAGTTGAAGATAAATATTTTTAAAATATTAATATTATTCACACATCACAGCTAGCTCAAAAGGAATTCTCCTCACCCCACCACTGCTCTCCTCCCCCTTCCCAATTTTCACCATCAGTCACTCCTCTGTCAACCTCCTTCCACACTCTCATTTTCACGCACACGCACACGCACACGCGCACACACACACACACACACACACACACACACACACACACACACACACACACGCAAAGAGAGTCCATTGCCTGTCCAGCTCAGTAGTAGAAGATGTTCCAGAAGAGCGCAAAGCCCACACAGCCGGTGTAGATAGCTAGGGCCAGCCAACACATATACTGCTGGTGCAGATGTTGCTGGAAGCTCTTCAACACAGCCAGGCCAACAGTCAGCCCAGCCAGTGCACCGGTCAAGTGAGGCGTGTAGCCCAAAGGGGGCGAACTTTCTCCCTGGGGCTGGGAGTACCTGGTCCAGATGGCGAAGCCGACGTCAGAACTCGCTGTGAAAAGAAAGTCTTATTTGTTTGTCTGTTTGTTTCAGAAAGAGAACCATGTCAACTGAATAACAGATACTTAGTGCAGGGAAAAGGCAAGACAGACCAGCTGATACAAAAGAGGGAAAGAAGAAAAGTTCAACATATACCTGGTCCAGATAGCAAAGCCTATACAGAAGTGGCTCCAATCAGAAACAGTCTTGTTTGTTTGTTTGAAGAGAAGCACATTAACTTAACAACAGCCATTTAAATTGCTTAAGTAAAAAGAAACACATCAACTCTAATTAAGGGAAAGAAAAAAAAAAGAATAGACTAACTGCACAGCAGAAACAACAGGGGGGGAAATAAAGCAGGAATTACCAGTGACACTCTCCAACCACCCATAAATACACAGTCAATGTGGGATTAAGTATATACCAATATTTTTGGTGTTCTCAGAATGTACGCAGGTAAGAGTGCTCTTTGGTAGCTTTTGCAGTGCATAATATACAAAAAAAAGGAACTATCTGAATATTCTTGGTTAACCTTAATAAATTTATAAGGTTACCTATATTCCGTTTAGCAGAGTAAGAGAAGCAGATCAACAACATAACTATCATTTGGTGCAAAGACTCACTACGAGGTCACATCTTGTCTACCAAGACGGGAAATCTATGTCACTGAGCACCAGATTATAATAGTTTGTTCTGTCTGTATCTGTTAATATGGGACAAATTTGTCTCTGAGTACCAAAAATTTAACATTCTGTCTGTATTCTTCAAGATAGAACAATGTTGTAATTGAGTACTAGACATCAGGCCCGCCTAAGTAGGGCGATTCTCTCTCCTACTCACCAATAACAAAAACTGTCGCCAGCTTGAGGATCCCCAGCTCCATGTGAGAATAATTCTGAGGACAATGCAGAAGTCGAAAACAAAATGATAACATACAAGAAAACTAAGAGGAGAAATATCAAGACAATACAAAGGCATATGTGACCCACACAAATTAAAACATAAGCATCAACCATAATTAACTCATTAATTAAATACACCCAGACACATCTGATTCACTAAAACAGCCCATCACCTTTTGGTTCACTAAAAGTACGCACCAGCTCATTCACTAAATGTATCCACCTGCACCTGGGTCACTAAATGTATACGTATCAAAATGTTCACATACACATCAGCAGTGCCTATCAGTCAACACATTTGCAATAAGAGCCCATCAGTTACACATTAACCACTTGTACGAACAACAACTCCGATCACAAAAACAGCCCATCAACAATACATTTACTAAATGTGCACATTCACAACAATTTTACTGAAAAATTCCTCCAAAATCGTGTTCAATAAATGTACCCACCAAAGTGACTATTATCAACATCTTTACTATGAGTTCCCATCAATGATATGTCCGTTAACTACTCACCAGCGGCCAATTCACTTAATGTACCTACCAACTACACATTCAGTAAAAGTAATATACCTATCAACAACATGTTCAGTAAATGAAACCGCCAGCACCAGTTTCACTACATGTATCCACCTCCACCACATTCAGCATAATATGAACCCACCTAGTACAATGCTTTGACTAAATAAACCCACCCACAGCATGTTCACTACATAGCCAAAAACAAATTCACTTTTATGTAACTACCAAAAGTAAGTTCACTAAACGTAACCACCAAAATCAAATTCAATAAATGTAACCACCAAACATAAGTTCGCCAAATACAACCACTAACAACATGTTCATTAAGTTAAAGTAGGCCTACCACCCACCAACAACACATTGGCTAAGTGGGCAGCCAGCAGGGCATAGACCCCTCCTGAGGACCCCACAAGGAAGGCGTCCATGTCAAACACAGAAGTACCAAGAGAACCTGTGGACAAACAGAGACATATGCAAATTGGTGTCTTTGGTGTAATTGTTAGGCTGTTTGCCATTGTATGAGGAAGATATGAATTTTGATTCCTGCAAAAGGATGTAGTTCTGCCTTATCTGTCCGTTAAGTTGAGATATTATATTCCTCTCAGTGGTGTGGGTTGGTAAAAATAAACAGAGCCTGTAATTTAGAAGATGCAAATAAAATAAAATAAGATAAGATAAGATAAGATAAGATAAGATAAGATAAGATAAGATAAGATATTACTTTATTGTAGGAATTATGTAGATGTACATGGCGAATGAGATAAATCTAGGTCAAAAATATGTAGTGATACAAAAACTGAACGACAGAAAAGGTTTAATTCTAGCTGTTCAGGAAAGTCAATGAAATTAATTCTGGCTGATAAGAGTTTAGCACAATAACTTAACAATTGTACAGCAGGTACCACAATGTCTCAGACATAAATGTAAAACAATGATAATCTACAAGTCCAAGCTACACGACTACCAAAAAGCTCATAGATAGAAAGAGACAGAGATTTTTTGTGTGTGTTTTTTTTTTCTCTTCAACAAAAAGAACTCTGACACAACACTGCTGAATAAATGCAGAGAAAAGCAGGAAAGACAGACAGAAACGACAGAACCAAATTAAAGAAGTTGGCCAACCACTCAGAGTGATAAACAAAGGCACTGAGAGACAAAGAGACAAAGTACGAGAAAAGATAAAACGTATCACAATACAGTGAAATTAGGCGCTCGTCAATTTTCGGGCATATGGTCTTAATGTATTAATCTTAAAGCCTATTCATTTGCTTTGTTTTTTAATGAAAAAAATACCCATCTATCTTGAACAGAAATTGAGATATTCACAGTCAAAGGAAGTGGGGTCGCCTGGGGTTAGAGGTAAATTTAGCAAGAAAAAGATTGCCAAATGTCTCAACTTCTATTCAAGAGAGAGGAGTATCTGTTTCATCAAAATCAAGACAAATTAACAAGTTTTAAGAAGATATCAATGACTCCATTAGCCCAAAAATTGATTCCATCGTGTTGCATCACATATGTTGTATTTCCTACAAACCTGCCAAAATCCCAGCCAGGTAGATGAGGGCAATCCTACAGGGTCCGTGCACCATCTCCAAGGGCAAGCCCACTGCCACCTGCACCAACACATTGAACAGAAGGTGCACATAACTGCAACAGACAAGGGTAACTCATGGTCAAAGGCTGATTTCATCAGTCAATGAGGGCAGTAACTGAGTCAGATGAAAATTACAACAACCAATATGGGCAATAATTCATGGTCTGAAGCATACAAAACCAGCAAACAACAGCAGTAGCTTACTGTCAGAGGTGGGAAGAGTGTTTTTTCGCAACTTGATTCAGTCAACTTTAAGAAGTTATGAGATCCTGCGACCGTTATCATTTCTCTACTTTAACCAGTAAAACTACTTTTGTTCCTCACAAAATCAAAGCAAGGAACAGATTCAGAAAATTATTATCTTACCACTTCCGACTTGATTGCAAAGTGCATTGAGTACTTTACTAATGGAAATGCACTATATAATAACTCAATCTTCATCAAAAATGGACTTAACCAAGTTTAGAAAAAAATCACTGTTTTATTATGAGTCAACAAAAGCAGTAACTCTTGGTCACAGGCAGATATACCATTGTCCATAGGGGTCTGAGGTTGATTGTGACATTCAAAAAGGGCAGTAGTAGCTAATGGTCAGAGTTTAGTTAGAGTAAAAAGAACCACATTGATACAATAATGGTCACGAAGTGCTGAGCAAAAGCAAGACAGACGGAAGCAACCAAAGGGAAAGAAAAAAAAAAGGAGCAAAAGTGATACCTTCCAAACACCATAGCTCATAGTCAGAGGCAGACTGCAATAGTCAACAAGGGCAGTAATGTAGTCACTGTACACTTCAAGTCCAGTAATTCCCAACGTGGGCAGTAACTTACCCCGCATGTACCATCATGTAGAAGAAGAAGCGCCAGACTTCGTGCCGTCGATCCGGCCGGTAGATGAAGATGCTGGCTGTGGGGACCGGGCCAGTGAAGGTGATCAGACGGGATTCCACACAATAGTACACAAAGCAGCCCACCTGAGGGATTTGTTTTTGCTTGTTTGAGTAAACAGACATAAATCTGCTCAATAACATTTATACTGTACAAGAAAAAAAGAGGTTTGAGTAAAGAGAAGCACACTGACACAAAACACAAAAACTATCATACAGTGCTGGGAAGAAGCTAAACTGATAGACAGAAACAATAGAGGGGAAAAAACTAGTAGGACATACCAGTGGTGCCTCCAACCACCCATAGATAAAAAAAAAAAAATACATACGTACAGAGAAACATGAAAGGAAAGAAGAGAAATATGACCTTCCAGTAGCATCCTTCAACCACCCGCTTGTTTGAGTAATGAGCAACACATCTATGCCATAACATATCTAGAGCAGGAAAAAGCCAAGAGTCTGAGTCTAAGTAAGGAGAAGTTAGATCTGGGACAAGACAAGCAAGACACTCAGACAGAGTAACAAGAGGCAGAGAAATAAAGTAATCTCAACTAGTGAAGCCTCCCAAGCACCTGCACACATACTGATAGACACCCACTCACACAAGAATACCTCAGAAACATAAACATATAAGGGCACTAACTGAAACACATTAGACACTCTCATAGTCATATAAACACACACACACACACACACACACACACACACACACACACACAAACACACGCACACACACACACCTACACACACACACACATAAACACACACATACACACACATAACACAACACATGCACATAAACACACAAATAATATGAACAAACAAAGGAGCACTATTTACATACATGGGCTGATAGATACATAGGCCCTACAAATTCATACATGTGTAAACAGACAGCGAAACAGTAAACAAGCACACATACAGGCATGTATCCACACACACATGCACTGGATGGAAGGATAGTCCAAAAGACATATTGATGGATAGAAGGATGGCCAGATAGAGAGTGGATCTGTGGATAAAACAGCATGATGGATGGATGGATGGATGGATGGATGGATGGATGGATGGATGGATGGATGGATGGAAGCATGGATGCATGGATGCATGGATGAATGAATAAATGAATGTAGATAACAAAAAAGGAAGAAACATGTCATTGATAAGGATACCTTTAAACTAACAAACAGATGGGTAGGCAGACAGAGACAGACACAGGCAGAGAAACAGGCTGTCAAATAGACAAGACATACAAACAAAAAACAGACAGACATTCAGGCTGACAGACAGATAGACAGACAGGCAGAAGGACATACTGACATGCAGGTCAAGAAACCGATCATAAGGCAGAAAGCTGACACAGACAAACAAGGCAGACTCGAACCTCCAGCAATGTGATGATAGGTATGAACAGTGGTGGCGGGCAGCAGGTGTAGCGGTCAGCGTAAAACTGGCGGTCAACCTGGTCTGGGAGGAACTCTTTAGCCACGCGTCGGACCTTTGACACAAGAGGAGGGTAGGGGATTGGTTTTGTTTGTTTTTTTTAATAAAAGTTTTACGACACTTGCAACACAATAGGGACATGCGAGTGCCGAAAATTAGAGGCGTTACAAGATAGTAACAAGCACACAAAAAGGAGAAATAAGAATGACAGAAGTTCGATAGTAAAGAAAGAACAAACCTCATCAGAGCACCAATCAAACATCCACACATACAGGATTCAGTTTGAGTTAAATACATTGTCACAGTAATGGTAGGCAAAGACAAAAAACATATTGATCTACCAGGGGCGCCCTCGACGTACCTACCGTGGTCCAGAGGTGTCACTTGGAGGGTAGAAGGCAGAAGGGAGGTGGCGTTAAGGCGGGGACAATATTGGTGTTCACAGATAAGATCAGATAAAATAAGATAAGACAAGATCAGATGAGATACTGACTTTCCACATGGAAAAAATTTACAGAGGGCATTGACAAACTTCTGGGTCATAAAATATCCATTCAAAGCTCCGTGCCACGAATTACTCTCTCTCTCTCTCTCTCTCTCTCTCTCTCTCTCTCTCTCTCTCTCTCTCTCTCTCTCTCTCTCTCTCTCTCTCTCTCTCTCTCTCTCTCTTTCTCTCTCTCTCTCTCTCTCTCTCTCACTCGTTCTCTCTTTTCTTCCAATGTGTGTGTGTGTATGTGTGTGCATGTGTGTGTGTGTGTGTGTGTGTGTAAGTGTGCGCGTGTGCGCGTGTGCGTGTGTGAGTGTGCGTGTGTGTGTGCATGTGTGTACGTTCGTGTGCATGTCTGTGTATGTGTGTATGTTGTTTATTGCCTCCTTCTTCATATATTTACACCCCCACCCCCTACCTTGCTACGTGTCAAAAGTTGGGAAACATTAGACCTATCCAGACAAAAAAAGGCCATTTTTGTAATGAAATGAAATATGGGAGAAAACGTGTCTTCTTTTGGTGGAAATTAAGAAGTTCGATTTGCAGTAAGGAAAAACAATTTCCCATATTAAATCTCTTGACCTATTTTTGGACAGACCGTCCTCCTTTTGACTTCTGATAATGTAATGAGACAGGGAAAAGGGGCATGCAAAGCGTCAGTTAACCACTGGTGTCTCAGAATACAGCTGAAACTGTCAAAGACGGCCAACCATAGCCGAAGAGGAAAGTGACCGTCTTAGACAACTGATGGTCTTATGCAGTATCATTGTTACGTAAAAATATTATATATATATACACGCACTACTTACAAAACAATTCAAATAATGGTGATGTGTTTATTTTTTTAAACAGATTGTATACCATTGCATTCTATGGTCATTTTGTGAACTTTCACAGCTGAAATGAAATGAAAAGGTCAAACGGCACCGCGAGCACAAAAGCATGACTCATTTTTCAAAATTCAGAGCGGTACATTGAGTTTTTAACACCTGCTTTAGTATCGTGCATGTTCTCCTTTGGCCTGAATACAGGACTGGTAGCGTCTTCTCGTGGAATTGACAAGAGTCTGAAAGAACACCTGTGGAGTCTGCACCCACTCATTTGTCAAAGAACGCCTCAGCTCTTGGAGATTGAGTAGAGGTCTTCCACGGGACAAACGGCGGCCAAGCTCGTCCCACACATGCTAAATTGGTGCCATGTCTGGAAACAGTGATGGCCAAGGCAGGACATCAATGTTGTTTGCCTGCAGAAAAGCAGTTGTGGCTCGAGCGGTGTGAGGGAAGGCGTTGTCGTGTTGGAATAACAACAGCTCTGTGTGTTGACCAAATAACGGCATGACGTGGTTCTAACCTGCTGGTACGTGTTGGCATTCACAGGCTGGTCGAAGAAGTACAGTGGTGTGCGATAATCGAGGCTGAACGCTCCCTATACCATGACGCTGCCTCCTCCCCATCTATCGACGTCCAGCATGCAACAGTTGGCGTAGGCTCGCCGGGGCGTCTCCAGACCCATCTTCTCCCGTCAGCATGCGAGAGGGCAAATCGACTTTTGTCAACTGTAAATGCTGCCTGGCCTATTGCAAACGTTGTTGGCAGTGCCTCTGTGTCAGGACAGGACCAACGTACGGGCGTCTGGCTGCAAGTCCTGCTTCCCTCAAACGGCGTCGCACGGGCCATTCAGATACTGGTCCACGCCGACCAACCACTTGACGACCTGTTTCCGGTACTGGCAGGAAACAGTCACAAAGGTGACGTTGGCAAATGTAACAGTCTTGCGCTGGTGATGTAACTCGTGGTTGGCCGCTCCGTCGACGATCTGCTGTATATCCAGTAGCTGCATTTTGTTGAGACAACTGGATTTCAGTCGAGTGACTACAGTTCATGCGCCTAGCAACTTGCCGTGCTGCCATTCCGGCTTGGAGCATTCCAATTGCCTTTTCACGTTCTTGCATGGAAAGTCGGGGCATTATTTACGCAGAAAAAATCCGTCGCACAGAGTAAAGAAAGTCAGTTTTTGTTATGGGCGAATATAATCTCTCCCTGACAGCCAAAAAATCTGTCTCGCAGAACAAAGTTTAGGTTTGAGGTCGACACATCGGATTTTTGCATGTTGCACGTGCGCATTGACAGTTTTGAACTGGGACCTTCAAATTTTGTGCGATCGGTAACCTCTGTTGCCCGTGAACTTTTGTCAACCTCAATTGATGTCACTGGATAGATTTTAGTCCAAAATGTGCTCAATCCAAAATGGTGCGTTTTTAATGACCGTCAGTATAATATATATATATATATATATATATAAAAGGGGGAGGGGGGCAGTGGTCGTTTGTACAGGTGGTTATCATATACAGGTGGCAATAGAGCAGGTTCGACTGTACTGACAAAATTATTTGAATAGCTACTAGGATCTCAATGCTTTTACAACAATCATCGACCTTACTGTCTCCATTTCTCTCACATTTCTACCCCACGGTTCTCACAAAACACGAAGACGCAGACAACACATAGTTATGTTATAAGATATCAGTCTTCTTTTTAAGGGGTCTTACGCCCCCATGCAGTTTAGACTAATGAAGTGGCGGGCTTCGACCCTGCCTGTCTGGGCTAATCCCGATAGACAGGGATACAACATCCCATATGAAAGACCGAGACACTCACTAAAAATTCTCCCCACCCGGGAATCGAACCCAGACCTTTAGCGTGAGAAGATGGAGTGCCTAACCGCTACACCACAGAAACCTATATCTTATCTTATCCAGACAAACTTGTTCATTCCGTATACGAAGCACATAGGGCTTGTACCTAGGCCCCCCCCAAAAAAAATCTGGAGGCCTAGGCTTGTACACTCAGCCAATTTAATCCGATAACAACACTTGTGGAGAGAAATCGCCGCCATCTTGGGCTGTTAAATTTAGCCCTAACTTACTGGGGGGGGGGGGGGGGTATTGATTTCTGAAATAGTCCCAAGACCGTCTGCAGTCTCGGTCAACAAGTAAACGAATTCGCCGTGCATACAGGCAACTGGAAATCACTCGGGTTACTGCATACTTTTGTAGTTAGGATTTAATTCTGTGTGAAAATCGGGACTGAAAGAGTGAACGGGAAAATGTCCTTCCATAGTTGAGATAATAATTACCAAGAAAGAGCAGATTTGTTTTAATCAAACAACCTTTACAGTATTATCTCTACATGTTCCGGACTTTTAAGGTGGGATTTACTGCCTTTCCCACATATTATCCTTAGCGCTTCTACATTTTACTAAATGCGAACGTTTAAAGTCCTTAACAAAAATGGTATGTTCAGTGTTAGTTAGCTTACATAATCAGAGTTTGTGATTGTTTATAACTGTGGCCCCAAAGGGGTCAACAGGGTATTTATGGCAATGAAACAGTTTTTACTGCTATGCGCATGTTCCCTTCAACTCTATTGGTAGACTCTTCCAGCCTCACTTTAAGCTTACTTAATCAAAGCTTGTGACTGCTTATGGAGTGGCCCGAGAGGGGTGAGCAAGCTATTTCTGTGGCAGTGAAACCTTTTTGAATATTAGGCATACTGTTCATTGTTGATTATGAACGTCTTTTTACATTTAATTTATGAGGTTTACGTTTATATGTGAATTTGACAGCGACAACGTTTTAAAATTAGAAAGGGAAGCAGTGATTTTTTGATTATATAGACGCTTCGCCCCTGGGTCTTCGGAAGTCACTGGTGATTAACATGTATGATCATGGGCGATATTTGAACCCTGACACCCCCGGGCGGTGCTACTGACTGAAGTGTCTTTAGGCCATTCTCAAAGAAGGGGGGGGGTGGCATTAACATGTTCTTAAGCACAGTGGAATTGTAAATGGGCTGATTCATTAATGCCATGCTCATAATTGTGCCCGAACTGCAACAGGGAACTGCTGCCTTTTCTTTCCTAATCCTTACTGTCGTCATTTTTCCTCTTCTTCTTTTGTTTGTTTGTCACACTCTTGAGGCCCGCTATTTCCAGGGTGCCTTGATAGTCGAAGCAGACTTTGTGCTGTTGAAGCTAGAGAGGTGAGCAGAGTAAGACTGATTCCCTGTAAGGACTTCTCTGTTGATATCTACCCCTTGGCGCTCACATGACCTCGTGCAGTTGCGAGCGCCGTAAAACCTCTACTAAGACTAAACGAACCCTGGCGAGCCCCTGTATCGGCGATTGTGACTAACGACAATTAATGCTGTTGTAAGATCACATTGCGATGTTACATATTTCCTCCTCTAAAGGTTTCTGAACAAGGAGGTGCAGTTGGGTGAAAGGCTCCTGGGGGCACATGGCAAATTCTACAAATATTGAGCCTGTGAAGTGGGTCAAGAGGTAAGTTTTTCTTTAAAAGAACAGAAAAAAAACAGACAAGAAACAGAAAAAGACATTATAAGGGTAGCCGGGTAAGCAATCGGAGAATCCGCAAAGACATTACTTGTTCCCACCTTAGAGAGTTTCTGACCAAGGAGTTACATTTGGATGGTACTAATGCACTTGGAAAAATCTACAAAATAATGAGCCAGTGATGTGGGTGCGACGGCGATGAGGAAGCGATAGGGAAAAATTGGGTGCTCAGAAGGTATAGCTTGGGTGCCATGGAGATAGGGACGTAATGTGAATGAAATGAGGGGGTGACACAACATGAGGCGAAAGCGGTCCTGACGCTACTAATGAAGTGCCTGGGTGTGATGTCATGCGGCAAGGATGTAACGTGAGAGCGATGTGAAGTATCGTGGTGAATGGAATATGTTTAACGCATCTTTCAACATTGTAAGATATTCAGAAGGCCAGACTTTCGTATTTAACGTCCATTTGCGATAGGACCGACAGTGTATCGCGGAAAGGGGGGGGGGCGACTTTATGAGGATGTGTAGTGAGGATGTCAAACGATACAGCGTCATCTACTCACCATTCTCTGGAAGCATGTGAGGTAGGTTGTGTGTCCGAGGTAGAGAGGGGATTGCCACTGGTCCGTCTCACGACTCTCTATTGCCAGTCGGAAGCTGTCGTTCCGACGGTTGCTCATCTGACAAAGAACAGAAGACAAAGGTCTAGGTCACTGGCCACGTGCCACAACAGTAAGCACACAGCACATACAAACACACACATAATCACTGACACACAAAAATATACAGTCACACATTATGCATAAAATGCAACAAGTAAACGTAACAAAACAAACACATTGTAAAAATAAACATATGCACATAAAATACAAGTACGTTCACACATACAAACATACAAAGTCATATTTAAGTAAAGACACACAAAAAGACATGCCGCTATTACAAACATACGAGGGTGGAGCAGAGGGCAAAGAGTAATGGAAGTTTTTCTATCCAACGGCAAAGATACTGACTTTGGCGTCTGCTCTCGAACTAACCATAAGAGATTCACGTGATGTCACTCTTGACCATTTTATGAAGTTAGTAACAAAGCATGGTTTGCGCTCTGGAGGAAATGTTTGTGAAAAATCTGTTTTTTTCATATGGCACAATTTATCGTTGAGTAAGAGTACTTAATGTAGGAACAGACACTGTTTTTCAAGACCCAAGTTCTGGCCACCCAAATTTTTCTGTGAACAACAAAACTGTTGATGTTATCCAGCACCATATCGCACACCCATACCTCTACGCAGGAACTTAGCCACTTGTCTGGACTTTTCACTACCTTAGAACTACATAGTTATATCTGACATTTTTGGCAGTTTTGAGTTACTAAGACTATGAGGCTATAAACCAAATGTTTGTCTGCTTATCAAAATCGTACGAATGGGGGCTCTCGTGGCCTAGAGGTTACGGTGTTCGCCTCTCACCCAAAGGTCCCGGGTTCGAATCCGGGTAGCGACCGAAACAAATTTCTTCTCTAAAATTGTCTCCTTGCCCCTGCTTTCCTGCTCTTTAGCAATGTTCTGTCGTCTGCTTTCGTCTCCGCTTTCGTCTCCACTTTCTGCCCCCACCCCCTCACCTCCTGTGCCCCCTCCTCTGTGCTCCTCACTATTTCTGCAGCCTTTCTACTGCTACTCCTTGGCTCCTTCTCACTGCTGTCTTTCAGCCACACCCCTGATCTTCTGGAAGTAAAGATCTACACCTAGCCCTCTCGGACAAGGGCGAAAAATCTCGGAGGTCCCGTGTGCAAGTTGTGCACGTTAAAGATTCCTTGGTGGTCTAAAATCGATAAATTCAAAATTTCCTACAAACTGGAAAAAAAATTAAGTGTCCCGCGCGCTCATATGACCGTATGCAGTTTGAAGCGCCGTAAAACACTTATAAAAAATCGTTAGAATATTCGGAGTCGTTATCAAGAATAGAATTACATTCGAAAAAGCTTGACATGTGAAACTCAACATTTTTAATGTAAAATTTCTGAAAACATAGTACTGAGGTAGCATTTCCTTTCGGTTGGTGCTAAAAAAAATATTCGTATAGACATCAATGTGTGGAAAAAAGTGTCATTAAATTACTATATGTGGAACATGAAAGAGGGAGGGTGAAATGAGCCACAGAATTGCTCAACAATTTTGAACGCTTAAGCCCAAGGGACAAACAGACATTGTTTTGGGAGACGAAAAGTGGATTCCCTCTTTTGGAATTTCATCAAAACGGGTTGAATTTCATGAGGATAGACGAAACATTAAGGAGACGGGCCGTGCTTTTTGGGTCCAGAATTTCAAAGCACAAAGAGGCTTTTATTGTCTTTTTCAGTTACAGTTGTCCCCTTGCAGTTGATATCATGCCGCATAATAGGCCTACTACAACAACTCCTTCTTACTACGTGGATAAGGCAATTCCGTTGATGAGCCGAGACCAGAGATCGGATTCTCTTTAAACGCAATGCTCCTCTGCGACAATGCAGTTCCCCACAAAGAAAGGGCCACAGCTTTGTGCATAGTCTACAATCCTGACTAAGCTCCCAGTGACTTTTAATTATTTCTTATTCTGAAAGAAAAGCTTGCTGGACGAAAGTTTGAACGTAGTCAGGACCTGTTTTCAGTGTAGGCGCGTTTATGCCCCCAATGCCCCCACTTTGATCATTGAGGAGACGCATTTCCGGCCCTGCCTGTCAGCGCCAACCCGGGATGAGAGGGATACAACATCCTGGCAGAAAGACCAAGACAATCGATAAAAATCCTCCCCACTCGGGAATCGAACTTGTATCTCCTGCATGCAAAAACGAAGCGCCGAACCGCTACACCACAGGCACACGTATTCAGGACCTAGCAACTGCTGTCACTTCAGAGCTGCAAAGCATACTAAAAGCTGACCACCGCTGCGCCTTCCAAAAGTGACAGTAGAGGGAACATACAATGTTGAGGGGAACATTTCAAGGGATTGAACATTTCAGGTCCATAGTATTAGATGTTTTTAAAATCCTTCATGACTTCCATTACTTTTCAATCCATTCTCATACATCTATGGAAGTGGTAAAATTCTTTACAGCTTTTGTCTACATCACCTCGTGCCACAGAGTGTAAGTTGCATAGAACAATAAGCCTTATGAGTCGTGTTACCACAATTTAAGCGGGTACTGTGTGGATGAAAAAAGTATCAACAACATCAAAAAATGCTGGTGAAACAGTTATTGCAGGTTCAGAAAAGGACTTTCAATTGCTTTTTTTTTGGGGGGGGGGGGTCAATAATATATGACACTTGCTACACAAATAGTTCATATAAGTGCTGAAGATTAGGCGCGTTACTAAACAGAAGCATACAAATGAAAGGAGAGAGATAAGGAAAATAATTGTTTGATAAAGAAGAAGGAGCAAACCACACCAGAGCAACCGGCAATTATCCGCTTTCATTTGCTTCTTGATACAGTTGTGACAGAAAGTGAACGTAGAAGACCCGCTTTTAAATGTAAAGAACACCTGGCAATATATTTCAAATGGATTAAATCCTATTTTCATAATGTCACGAGCAAAGACGATAATAACGAAAAAAAATCAACAGTTTAATTATCTAAGCTACATATTAGAGCTGGGCGAAGAATCAATTCCGGAACCGATTCCCATGATTAATGCGACGGAGGAAAGGTTCCGACTCCTTTTTACATAAACCAACTGTTACCAGTAACTTTAATCATTTAAAAAAAAATTCTTCCCTCTTTTTTAGAATTTTTTTTTTTAAAATTTGATTCCTTGTAGTGTTCCGAAATAAAGGTCATCCTAAATCCTGAAGATGTTCGGAGCCATCCAGGTAACCACCAGAAGAAATCACATTATTAGAAAATAAGTAATTGGGTTCCGAGTCGATTCCTACGATTCCTAGCTTTCAATAATCGGGAACCTAGCCGCCCAGCACGACAGCATATAATTACATCTGGTGCCAAATGTTCGACAGAAACAAAAACGAAATGTTGCAAATGCTAAAGACGGTTTCAATAAAAATGAGCTCAATCCTAAAAAAATAAAAGCATCTGAATGACAAATAATGATACAAATTTTAAAAGGCTTATTTTAAAGTTTTAGTAGAAGTATTACGGCGCTCGCAATTGCATAAGGTCATATGAGCGCCAGAAGATTAGAGCTGTTACAAAAGAGTAACAAACATTTTTTTTAGATGAAGGGGAGATAAGGACGATAGATGTTTGATAGGAAAGAAGAAGCAAACCACACCAGAGCACCCGCCAACCACCCACTTTTCAAAGGCTATAAGTGGACCACCCTTCTATTGGGCTGTGAATGCTGGCCAAGTACCAAAGATAGTGAAAATACAATAGACGAGACAGAAATGTCGTTTCTACAAAGACTGGAAAATTTCATGAAGGGAAAGAGAATCAACAGACGTAGTGCTGAAAGACGTCCACTGGGGCTGTTCACTAATATAAACAATTAGGACGCGACAAATGCAGTTTGTATTACACTTGATTCAACATAAAGACTTTATAACATCAAGGATAAGCCAAGGGCAACTTACTAAGAGTACTTAGAGCACAGATTGTATAACAGGGACAGATCGGGATAACATTGAATGGGTTTTTTTGTTGTTGTTGTTGTTGTTTGTTTGGTCTGGTTAGGGGTTGTTTTTTTTAGAGCATCCTTGCAAAGAATTTAAATGCATGGTAAACCATGATCGCTGATGTCTGCTCCATATCTGGCACTTCACGAAGATATTATACCAACATATTATACTGCATCAACACAAACTTTAAACAAGAAAATGCACGCACGCACGCACGCGCGCACGCACGCGCACACATACATGTTATGCAAACATGTGCACAAGTGCAAACACTTATTGCACACAGAAACAAACACAAAATACTTCACATGCACGTGTACATATTGTACATGCGGACACAGGCACAGACTATGCATTTGTACATGCACACATATATCATAAACATGTACTGTAAAAGCAAACAAACCCACATGCAAATGCAGTAACAAACGCATATAT